CTTCTCCCTCTGACCCTCTTCCCTCTCGTGCTTTCTATCTCTCATTCTCTCTCTCTCAAATAAATAAATAAAATCTTTAAAAAAAATAAAAATAAAAAAATAAAGGAATGGCATTCTGACATATGCTACAACATGGATGGACACTGAATACGTTAAGCTAAGTTAAATAAGTTAGACACAAAAAGACGAATGTTGTATGGTTCCACTGATAGGAGGTAACTACAGTGGTAAATTCATACAGACAGAAAGAATGGTAGTGCTTGGTGGGAGAAGTGGAATCACTGGATACAGAGTTTCAGTTTGGGATGATGAGAATTTCTGGAGATGGATGGTGGTGACAATTACACAACAATATGAATGTACTTAATATCACTGAATTGTGCATTTAAAGATTTTTTTAAAAGATTTTATTTATTTGACAGAGAGAGAGAGAGAGTACAAGCAGGGAGAGAGGTAGGGAGAGGGAGAAGCAGGCTCCCGCTGAGCAGAGAGCCCGACATGGGGCTCGATCCCAGGACCCCAGGATCATCACCTGAGCCAAAGGCAGACGCTTAACAAACTGAGCCACCCAGCCACCCCTGAACTGTATATTTAAAAATGTCAGGATGATAAATTTTGTTATGTGTTTTTTACCACAATTTTTAAAAAATTAATGATTAAAATGGTTTTATGTTATGCACTTTATCACAATTAAAAAAATAAAGCTAGGGGTGTCTGGGTGGCTCAGTCGCTTAAGCATGGACTCTTGATTTCAGCTCAGGTCATGATCTCAGGGTCATGAGATCAAGCCCTGCATCAGGCTCCGAGCTGAGCATGGAGCCTGCTTAAAATTCTCTCTCCAGGGAACCTGGGAGGCTCAGCTGGTTAAGTATCTGCCTTCAGTTCAGGTCATAATCTCAGGGACCTGGGATCGAGCCCGATGTCCAGTTCCCTGCTCAGCAGAGAGTCTGCTTCTCCCTCTCCCTCTGCCTCCCCCCACCACTGCTTGTGCTCTCTCAAATAAATAAAATCTCTAAAAAAAAAAAAATTCTCTCTCCCTCTGCCCCTCCCCATCCACATGCTCTTTCTCTCTCAATAAATAAAGAATAAATAATAAATAAATATAACCAAATAAGCTAGTGTTTTTTAGCCCTCTTCAGGCCATCCCTCCCATTGATTACAAACAAAAACTCTGGGAAAAATATAAAAATTAACTACTTGAAGACTGAAAAGCTCCCTGCTCAGTGGAGGCTCTGCTTCTCCCTCAAACAAAGGAGTCAAATATGGAGAAGCAAACTGCACAAAAGTGAGTTTCCCAAACTTTTCTCTCTTGCTCTCTTACAGTTTTCCTCAAGTGTGCATCCCAATCATGATGCTTCTCAATGAAGGCACCTAAAACTCTAACAGAAACCTATGTTCTAAGCCACATAAACCAGAGAATGTCCCCCTTCAGGCAGGAAAGTGTGGGTGGAATCCCAAAAGTGACAGAGCAAGAAAAGCAGATGTCCTAATTCTGTGTATGATGTCATATAAGTCTCAACCTAACCACTACACTATACATGCACATGACAGCCCAAAACCAGCATAGCTAAGGCTTAGAGAACTAGGCTTAGAGAACTTGAACCTAAAAATGATGAAGTGAAATTCACATTCTAGGGTGCCTGGGTGGCTCTGTTGGTTAAATGACTGCCTTCGGCTCAGGTCATGATCCTGGAGTCCCAGGATCAAGTCCCGCATTGGGCTCCCTGCTCAGTAGGGAGTCTGATTCTCCCCCTGATTCCCCCCTCCTGCCCCCTCTCTCTCTCAAATAAATAAAGTTGTTTAAAAAAGAAATTCACATTCTAAACCTAATCAGGTTGACTGTCTGCTAAGCAAAAACATCAGCATTCTCCAGAGAATTACAAAAGAACCCAGAGTCTATGCTACGTAGTATTCACAATGTCCAAGATGAAATCCTAAATTACTTGACACGCAAAGAACAGAAATTTGTCACCTATTACCATGGGAGAAGACAATCAACAAACACCAACTTAGAAATAGCCAGATATTGGAAATATCCAACTAAAATATTTTAAAAGCAACTATTGTAATTTATATGCTCCATGAGGTAAAGGAAAATAAACTTGAAATGATTTTGGGGGGTGATGGAAATAGAAATGTTTGTTATCTTAATTGTGGTAATGATTTGACAGGGGTATACATATATTAAAAAAGGTAAAATTGTACACTTTAAATATTGTGGTGTAGGGGCACCTGGGTGGCTCAGTCAGTTAAGCATCTGCCTTTGGCTTGGGTTATGATCTTGGGGTCCTGTGACTGAGCCCCACATCAGGCTCCCTGCTCAGTGGAGGCTCTGCTTCTCCCTCTTCCTCTGCCCTCCCCCCATTCATGCTTTCTCCCTCTCTCAAATAAATAAAATATTTTAAAAATTAAATAAATATATGTCATTTATTGTATGTATAGCTCAATAAAGTTGTAAAAAAAAGAAACAATCATACCTATGCCAAGCACAAGGTAAATATTATTAACGACCATTTTACAGAATAGGAGACTTAAGTTCAGAAATTAAGTATTTGCCTAAGGTTACAAAGTGAACTGGGTTCAGAATTCTATGCAGATTTTTTTTTACTTCCAAAGCTATATTATTTCCTTAGCTGAGAAAATAAAACAGTGTTACTCAATTTATGAGATATTAGGAGGATTGAACAAAGTATGTTTCTATGATACTAAAATTCATATGAGATAGTTAACTTATATTAGTACATAGATTTCATACCACCAATGACATGTTATTATTTTCCTACTAAACTGAAAGAAATATTCCCTCTAGTAACAAATCTCAAAGGAAACACGTAACAGTGAGTACAGATTGCATTTTAACCTCTACTTTTTCACATAGCAAGTCTGAGAAATATAAGAAACATTATATACAGATGGTACTGTGTGGGTTAATCTACTGATAAAATCTGTGAAAGATCTATAATCTATACACAATGCTATGTAGTATTTCCCAATTTAAGCCAATGCTTGTTATAGTCTTTTAATAAGAAACCATGCATTGGGCGCCTGGGTGGCTCAGTTGGTTAAGCGACTGCCTTCGGCTCAGGTCATGATCCTGGAGTCCCGGGATCGAGTCCCATATCGGGCTCCCTGCTCAGCAGGGAGTCTGCTTCTCCCTCTGACCCTCCCCCATCTCATGTGCTCTCTCTCTCTCAATTAAATGAATAAAATCTTTAAAAAAAAATGCATTAATCTCAAAAGATACTGTTAAAGACAATTTCATTACATGGAAATACACTCATGCTATGTAAAAAAAAGCAATTTACAAAAAATTATTTGTTTTAAAATGCATATACTTACAGAGAAAAAGATTGGAAAGATATATAATACATATAAAATATTGTGGGTGATTATGGGTGATTTTAATTATCTTTTTGCTTCTCTGAATTTTCCACCCTTTATATAATAAACAAGTAGTGTTTTTAGGAAAAACATTAAGAGCTATTGTTTCAAAGTGTAACAATAAACAAAAGGGCCCCACTTACCATGATGGATTATCTTTGCTTTCTATTTAGGTCTGAGTATACCTGTCTAGTAAGATACAGTCACAGTCTAGTACCACTCACCTGTCCAACTGCTTGCAAGTTATAGCAGACAATGTCCTTATTGGCTGCTGAAGTTCCATAAAGAAGTGCCTCAATGAGCCAGCATATCCCCAGGAGAAGGTCAGAGAAGCTCAGATAAAAGAGTGGCCTTATCTGTCAAAGCAACAAGAGGCTCATTTCATAAATGATGTAGCTAGGAGAATGTAACAATCAATTATTTTTATGTTATACCTTTCTAGTAGAAACCTGGGCACCATTTTTCTGGGGTCTCTGTCATTGGTGGACTGTGGGGAATGTAAAGGAATACTCCCGGTAGGAAGGAATATATAATTGCAACTATCCCAATTGTCCTGGAATCAGACTACTCATGGATAGACTAGCATTGAAACTTCTTCCTCATAAACATATTCCTTCCTCAGATATAGGGACAAAGGAAAAAATGGGCAGATAAGAAATTTTGTGATGGGAGACACATCACAAATAGAAAATTAAAAGTGCTCTAGTTGCACAGTCAACATCCAACAATAGGAAATGAGATCATCAGCTGAGTGTTTAGGGATAGGGTTAAGGACTCAAGAAAAAAAACAGGTTTTTTAAATCTTAATATAGTTTAACTTGCATTTTTCTTATTCTTTTCTTTATTGGAAAATTGTAAGATATTTAAAGTGTGCAATGGGATGATTTGATATACATGTACATTATGAAAGGATTTCCCCAAGTTAACACCTCCATCACCACACACATTTACTTTTTTTTTTGATGAGAACACTTAAGTTCTACTCTCTTAGCAAATTTCAATTATACAACACAATGTTATCAACTATAGTCACCACATTATACGTTAGATCCTCAGATCTTATTCATCTTACTGTGTCAATGAAAACTCGGAGTAGGAAAAATATCGGTATGAATTGTATATGCTGCTTTTCAATTTCTGACCCCATCAGTAAAGTTTGTCCTTCTTTATCACTTTCTAGTATTCTTCACCTTTTGGCCTCCCTACTCCCACATTTCTAAAAATAGTATTGGTTAGCCTACAGAGAAAATTATAAAATGTTTATTGAGAGACACCAAAAAAGATCTACAGTGAAGAAATATACTATGCTCATGGATTGTAAGACCTAAGATTACAAAAATGTTGGTTCTCCCTAAACTGATATACAGACTAAATGCAATTATCAATTGTATCTCAACATATTTTCTTGTGGAAGTTGACAAGCTGGCTCTATATCTGATATAGAAATACAAAATATCAAGATAACCAAGACATTCTTGATGAAAAAGGAAAAAGAAGACTTGTCCTACACATAGCAAAACTTAATATAAAGCTAGAGCACAGATACTGTGGTACTAGCACAGGAATAAGCAAACAGACAAATGAAACAGAATCAGAGCTCAAACAAACCTAAGCATAAATAAAAACTTTTGATACATGATAGAAGTGGCTTTTTAAAAAAGATTTTATTTATTTGACAGAGAGAGCTCGAGAGAGAGCACAAGCAGAGGGAGAGAGAGAAGCAGACTCCCCGCTGAGCAGGGAGCCCGATGCGAGGCTCGATCCCAGGACCCTGAGATCATGACCCGAGCCATCTGAGCCACCCAGGTGCCCCTAGAAATGGCTTTTTTAGAACATTTTTGTTTTATTATTATTATTATTATTATCATAGTAAACTCTACACCCAATGTGGAGCTCAAACTCACAACCCTGAGATCAAGAGTTACAGGCTCTGCTGACTGAGCCAGCCAGGCAACCCATAAGGCAGCTTTCTGGATCAAGAGAGAAAGGATAGTCTTTTCAAAATATGCTGTTGCAACAACTGGGGATCTATATGGATAAATATAAAAGTGGACCCCTACTTTCTATCTCACACACTCAGAAATGAGTTCCAACTGATTTAAGTAACTAAATGTGAAAGGCAAAAACCATAAAAAATTTTTTTTAGATAATAGAGGAGAATGTCTTCAACTTCTGGCCAGGGAAATTTTTCCTAAACAAAACAAAAGGGCTCTAAAAGGAAGTAACTGAAAAATTCAACCAGTGAAAAAGAAAAATGTGTCAAAAGACACCATAAAGAAAAAGACATGCCACAAAATGGGAGAAGATTATTTGCAACACATAAAACTGACAAAGGACCAGTATCAAAACAATATTAAAAACAAAAACAAACAAAAACTCTTACAAAGCAATTAAAAAAAACCCAGTAGAAAAAAATAGGCAAAAGATGTGAACAGGTACTTAAGAGGAAATCCAAATGGCCATAAACATATAAAGATATGCCTAATATCATTAGTAATCAAGGAAATGAAAAATTAAATCCACAGTGAGAAAAAAAATTATACACTCATGGCAAAAATTTTTAAAGTCTGACAATATCAAGGATTAATGGAAACATGAAGCAATGAGACCTTTCATACCCTACTGGCACAACCATTTAGAAAAAGTTTGGCATTATCTAGGAGATATGCCTCGCCTACAGCAATTCCGTCATTAGGTAAATACACTAGAGAAATGTTTGCATGTGTGCACCAGAAGACATGGGCAAGATTATTTATAGCAATATAGATACATAAATTATGATATGTTCAAAAAACAGAATGCTAAACATCAGTGAAAATGAAATGAACCAGAGCTTTACACAACATGAATAAATCTTACAAATAACGCTGACAAAAAACAGCAAATCACAAAACTATATAAAAAATATATACAATATTAGTCCATTTACAAAAAGTTAAAAAATGAGCTGAAATAAATTGTTTAAAGATACATACATTGACAAAACTGTACATAAAAGCAAAGAAATTATGATCACAGAAGTCAGGATAGTGGTTATCTCTGGATGTGAGGAAGAGATCTGTGACCAGTAAAGAGCATAGTAGGTTGACCAGTAAGGAGCATTTTGGTACAGGCAATTTCTATTTCTTGTCCATAGTGGTTATAATCATTCTTTAAACAGTACATACAAGTTTTATGCTTTCTAATCCATATCTGATATATATCACAAGAAAAAGTAAATCAAAATTTTTTTAAGTTATTATCACATACTACCTAATACAACAACTAATCTCACCTGTACAAAAGGGAATTTTTCTGATTCCCCTCTTCCAAACGAGAGGAAAGCTAAGATACTATACCTGGCAAATGGGTAAATGGTCAAGTTGCTTTGGCTAACAGATACAAAAACAAGTGAAATAATATTTTAAACTACATTTAATAGATATCAGATATTATTATTATTTTTACCATATATAGCCTTTACTCTGGGTAAGCCTACTAAAATTCCAACCAGATGGCACATTCACAGATTCTACTGGCCCATGACCTTCCACAAGTTTCTAACTGTTAATGGGTAAAAAATTAAAACTGAACACAAAATAAACTCTGGAGGAGAAAGGCAGCCAAGAGACTTTTGTGAGCAAGAATGTAATTTTATTTATGGTCATTGATTCAATAAATAGCCTTATAGAGAGAGAGCTGTTTGCCACTAAAACATATCTAGTCTTTGGCAGGGAAATGGAGGATAAAAAGAGGTTTATATAACTTCACTCATGCTTGGAAAACAATGAGTTCTAGTGACAGGAGATAAAGTCAATCAAGTAAACAACAAAAATTAACTGAGTACCTACTGAAGTCAAGAAAAATTTTACCCTGCCTATGTTCACAAGATACTATGTTGAATGTAATGCAAAGAAAGGTTTGCAAAGAAAGTGCAATCAAGCACAGTGTGCAGTACTTAGGCAGACACATTAAAGCCTAAAACATAGTCCAAAATATGAAAGCAAAAACTCTTTTTAAAAAAACATGCACAGGGATATCTGGGTGGCTCAGTTGGTTAAGTGTCTGCCTTCGGCTCAGGTCATAATCCGAGGGTCCTGGGTTTGAGTCCCACATCGGCCTCCTTGTTCAGAAGGGAGCCTGCTTTTCCCTCTGCCTGCCACGCCCCCTGCTTGTGCTCTCTCTCTCTCTGACAAATAAAAAAATAAAATCTTTTTTTAAAGATGCCTAATTTGTACCTAATTTAAATCAAGAGCAGGATAAGGGCTAGGGAAGGGAGGATGTGCATTGTGTGAAAGGCTTTCCCTGGGGAGGTTCGGGTCCAAGTCTGTGCTGGTGAGGTTCATAGGAATACTCTTCTAAAACCCTGCTTCCCAATATTTCTATTCAAATGAAATCAGGTTACAAAGAATATCAAAAGTGATCTTCTTGGGCAAATTAAGTCACATAAGTGTAATAAAGTATCTGCCTTGAGTATTATTTAACAATGGCTAGCCTGGCCACTTTCTTCTCTCTTCAGTTTGCTTATCTGAGTCATTGTTTCATCAGCTAGTCCCCTCAAAGATTCCCTATGGATTTCTCCAATTTACTATATTTATTTTTAATTTAATAGACTATTTTGGTCTTTTTCAGATTATGACTTCCATGTGTTTTTTGCTGTTAAAAATATTCTTTGATGGAGGAAAAAGGAAAACTGGAGGATGGTTGACATTCTTAATCTGGAAAAATTGGAATTTTTCCTACACCAAGAGAACAGAATGTGTGGGAACCAGTGAACTAGTGGTTGCTAAGGTCCTTTAGGCTCTGGTTATGTGAAAGGTATGAGAACTGAAGCCAGAGAAACTAAAGGTCACATCCTAGGCCAAACTAGATCCCACATCTTTATAAAGCTCTAACCCACTGTCACACCAGAAGTCACCTTAGAACAGTGGTTCTCAGCCAGGAGCAATTTTGCCTCCCTGAGGAGACATCTGGCAATATTTGAAGATATTTTGGTTTTTACAACCTCAAAGGTAGGGGAGGTGGTTTGCTTCTACCATCTAGTGGGTAAAGTCTGCTAAACATCCTAATGTGCAGACAGCCCCCTACAACAAATAATCATCCAGTCCAACAGATAAATAATGCAGAGACTGAGAATCTCTGCTTAGCTCTCTCTACTATGTAACTAATACTTTATTAACTTAATCATGTATGAATTCAAATTTCAGCAAAGGAGACAAACATTAGGGAAATCTGAATCACAGAAAGATATGTGGCCTAAGATTACTTTGGTAGGCAATGATACTACAGTACCAAGACTTCTACTCTCCAGTTTTACCTACACAGTCACAGTCTATGTCTGAAATTCAAAATCCTATCTTCACTAGGTATCATATTTCAGTGGCTTAAAAAGCATATATGGAGAAAGGCTTTGGAACAAGACAATCCTATACTCAAATTCTAGCTCTAACAACTTACTGGCTATAAATAAGACCTTAGGAATGTCCCTCAAGCTTACTAGGATTCCATTTCTTCACTATAATATGAGATTAATAATATCCTCCTCACAGAGTTGTTTTAAGGATTAAATGAAAAATGTATTTAACACTGAGCACATCTGTCTAGAATATAATAAATACTAAATACTGTGTTTAATTTGAAGGGGGACTGTAGCTAAGAGGTGGACTTTTGAAAATCTGTTCTGCTATTTACTGTAAAATTTGAACAAGTTATTTCATGCCTTTGAGCCTCAATTTCCTCATCTATGAAATGAAGCTAATATCATCCTTCTCGAGCGCCTGGGTGGCTCAGTTGGTTAAGCAACTGCCTTCGGCTCAGGTCATGATCCTGGAGTCCCAGGATTGAGTCCCGCATCGGGGTCCCTGCTGAGCAGGGAGTCTGCTTCTCCCTCTGACCCTCCCCCCTCTCATGCTCTCTCTCTCATTCTCTCTCTCAAATAAATAAATAAAATCTTTAAAAAAAAATATCATCCTTCTCATGGGAGAATGATGATAGCCAATAAGATAAAGTTTGTAAAGCACCCAGCATACTTGGAACTCAGAAAGTGTTCAACATACAGAACTATTTTGATTACTAAAGTGGGCCCAATAAAACCCAATCACATTTTCCACATACAAAAGCTCTCCCATTTACATCCTGAACTATATTTTGTCTAATTTTGTGCCATTTGGCCTGGTTAGAGAAGTAGTTGTTACATTTCTCTTAAAATCTTTTCATACCTAGGAAATACATCTCTCTTCCTAGTCCTCTCTCAATCAGGAAGGTTTTTTGTTTGTTTACACCTTAAATATATGTAATTTTTGTCAATTATACCTCAATAAAAGGAAAGGTTTTTTACTTGATCTTTTTGGTATGAATAATTTTACATAGGATGTATTTTTACTCTGTTTTCACCATTAAATTGTAATTGCCTAGAAGGCCTGAGCAACAAACCTAATATTTTTTGGACAACAAAGTCTCTGAGCTATACCCTAGCCCCACTAGCAATGTTACCAAGATATCAATATCAGAAAACTCACCTCTTGGCAGGACCATACTATGCTTAGAGTGACTAGAGGCTTCAAACAACTCTGTTTCCTAACTTTAATAATCAATGAATAGCAAAAAAGTGTACTTTTTAGTAGGCAATCTCTCAGTATTCAAAGTTATAGTTAAAATAATTACCTAGAAGAAAAGGGAAACCTATTGACTGTGTCTAAAATATCTCAATGTATCATAATGACAAATTTACAAGTAATTCATAGAATTATTCCATTATTTATGGTCATACTTCTCTTATTTATTTCAAAAGCGAAGTCACTAAAAGTTCAAATCCAACACAAAAAGAGTTTGCTCACCTCTGGAGATTTCTGTATATTCTGGAATACGGCATAGGCAATAAGTGAACTTGAGCCTATAACACTAACAGAGATAAAAGATAATCATTAAAAGATGACTATTGGGACTCCTTCATTTTTCCTAATGATTTTTTTTTTTTAGTTAAAAATGAACTCGGTATGTTTAATAAAGCTTGGTATTACCAAAATCACGGTACAAACATCAAGTCACACGCCCACACGACAGAATTCCATTTACAAAATGTCCCTCAGGAGGCCTCCTCCAGCTGCGCCCGAGAGAACCCGACCCAGGCCTGCAGTCTAGGGGGACAGAGGAGGCGAGGAGGGGGGCAGCCTAATGATTTTTTATAGCTTTACTGATATATAATGGATGTAAAATAAACTGCACATTTTTCTAAAATATGGAATGCTTCATGAATTTGTGTGTCATCCTTGCATAGGGGCCATGCTAATCTTCTCTGTATCGTTCCTACTTATTTTGCAAATCAATCCCGTTGACCAAGTCCTTTGATTTTCAGATGTTATTCCTCAATCTGTTTTTTTGTTATTGTTGATGTTACATTTTATTAATCAGAAAATATCAACATGGTAAAGAACAGCATTTCTCCCTAAAGAGTAAAAGCAAATACCCAGGGGGAAAATGCAGAAAACTTTAGAATTCTACAGCTTTGCTTCTACCACTTTAAACAGTCATAGTACATGAGATTAAATAAATTTACCTCAGAGTAGCCATAACAAATTGTATCCACTGTATTGCAGAAAAAACCTAAATAAAACAAGAGAATAAAATTAAAACTTTTACATTTAATATCCAACCTTACTCCAATTTCACTGTTTATTAACTGTGCAGAGCACAAAGTCTTCAGTGTCTCATCAAAATACCCTACAAGTCTGAGAAGGAGCAGAAAGGCCTCTGGAAAGGCAAGGTGGATCCTTGTGTCCTCTCTTACTGCTCCATCTCTGGAAACAGTAAGATAAAAATAGAGAGGTGGAGAGAAAATGACTAAATGAAAAAAGAGTTGGATGAGAAGATTTAAAAAGGAAAGAATAAAATTAAGACAACACAGGAAAAGTTAAATTTTGAGAGAGAATAGACAGATGTGTGAAAAGAATGGGTAAAAGGAAAGGTAAACAAATACTAAATAAAGTCGGCTGAGAGCTAGAGAAAAAATAGAATAGTAAGCAATAAAGAAATAGGAAGAAGTAGTAAAGAGATACTGCAAGTGAAAAATACAGAACAAGGAGGAAGAAAGGGGGAGCAAAAAGAAAGGGACATTTTATAATCTCACCAAGTCCCAATTGTCCTCCAGAATGCTAGCTTCCAGCAGGAAGGCCATAGGGACTTCAGCCCCAGCTATGCTTAAACAGCCCAACCCTTCTCAGGTTCTGAATCTTGAAGCACTGAACAAGTGGCTCCACCCCTAGCCCAGCTGGGCCCCTCCCTACAATACTGCCCTGTATCTTGAGAACAAGGAAAGAAGGTGGGGACAAGTGGAGGAGAAAGCCAAGCAGAAAGAACAAAAATAGAAAGAGCAGGTGACAAGGAAACAAAGTTCTAAAAAGCATTAGGAATTGTAAGAAGAGGAAGAGACAGGAATAATAAAAAATAGAATGGTGAAAAGATAAACAGAGCTGCAAGAGAGAAGTGGAACAGAAAAAAGGGAGAAAAAATAAGTAAGAAAGAAGGTCTGCTTAAAACTTGCCCCATTTAGGGACAAAAGCCTGTGATGGAAAAGAGAGACTGCATATTAAACAATCAATAAATTTTTAGTAATACCAAGAAAAGCTGTGAAGAGAAGGTGTTGTTAATATCTCATATTTAAATAGTAACATCTGAAATATTCTGTACCAAAAATTCCCACCAGAAATATATTAAATTACATGATTCATTTAATATACTTATGTTTATATAACCACTCTGTATAAAGCATTGTGCTACAGAAGATACAAGTAAGAGACAGATCCAGACTTCCAGGAGCTTATAACATAGTAGGAAAAATGGACTGAATACCAGAATCTCAAATTATCTGCATACAAAAAAATATACACTGCCTATCATTTGAACAATATTCGGAAGAACTGGTGAAATTTGGACAAAGACTATGGTAAGGAGAAAGCAGAAGGAAAAACATTTCATTTCATTTATTTTTTTAAAGATTTTATTTATTTATTTGACAGAGAGAGAGACAGGACGAGAGGGAACACAAGCAGGGGGAGTGGGAGAGGGAGAAGTAGGCTCCCCGCAGAGCAGGAAGCTGGATGCAGGACTCGATCCCAGGGCCCTGGGACCATGACCTAAGCCCAAGGTAGATGCTTAACGACTGAGCCACCCAGGCGCCCAAGAACATTTCATTTATATAACCATTTATCTTTCATCTAACTATACTTTCATACACTCTACAAATATTTATTGATAACATAAATTGGATCATTTGCATAGGTTCAGTGATTTGGTGATTTAAATATGTGATTCATTTATTCATATGAGGTTAATATACCATTCATTTATTTACCATAGTGTGGAGTAGAAGAAGGGACATCGTTAAGGGGTAGGTTCTGGTGGGAAACTATTAAATTGGAGGTAGGCTCTAACCACTTTGCTTAGATCGTTTGATAAACAGGGGCGCCTGAGTGGCTCAGTCGTTAAGCATCTGCCTTCAGCTCAGGACATGATCCCAGGGTCCTGGGATGGAGCCTTGTGTCGGGCTCTCTGCTTGGTGGAAAGGCTGCTTCTCCCTCTCCCGCTGTGTCCCTCTCTGTCAAATAAATAAATAAAATCTTTATTAAAAAATCATTAGATAAACAAATAAAAAACAAGTAGATTTCTGGTTCAGAAATCCCTACCATAAGGTCTCAGGGAGTGTTCTGAGGCCTCTAATCATATATCTATCTAATAAGGGTGAGAGGACTAATGACAGTCTCACTAAGTGATAAGAGAATGCTTTTGGACAAAGGACTCCTGTTCAGCCAAGAACAAATCTCAGATTGTTCAAGGAACAACCATGCCAAATCAGTCTGCTGCTCTTGACTTTAAGAACTTTTCTCTCTTGCCACCTCTTCTAAAATGTCTTATGCCACTGACCAAATTCCCATGTGGGGATTTACCTTTCCATTTTTCTCTCTATATTCGTACCCTGTTTTTTGTATATTTAGCATCATTCCCTCTTGAAATATCTTTTGAAACATAATCTTCCCATCTTCCTTTTCTGCAAGGGCTAACCCAAGCCCAAATGAAGTGGGTGATACTTATTTTTAGTTTTCTCTTCTTTCACTTAGCTCCTTAGTAAGCTCAGAAACATCACAGCTCACTTAATGTAATGGGTTACTACATTTCATGTATCAATTAAATTAATAGATATTCATTAAACTTCTACCATGAGCAAGTTACTACTGTGGATACAAAGTCAAGAAAGACACCTTCCTAGTAAAATATTTTTTATTTAAGCAAAACTTATACTTAACTCAAATATGATTTCTAGTAATAACATCTACCAATTATCAAGTGCTATCTATGTGTAAGGCTCTATGCTAAGCATTTTAATTGTCAACACAACCTTTGAGGTAAGAAGTAATATTCCCATTTTTAAAAAAATTTTAGTAGACTCTACACCCAATGTGGGGCTTGAACTCACGACCCTAAGGTCAAGAGTCCCATGTTCTACCAACTGAGCTAACCAGGCACCCCAGTAATGTACCCATTTTTCAGATGAAGAAACTGAGGCTTAAAGAAGTCACTTCAAATCCAGTCATTCTGACTTCATAGTTTGCACTCTTAACACACACAATATCCTAGTGGAGAACTAGTTAATAGGAACAGAGGGAAAGATAATGTTAAAAATTAATGTAACATCAGGGCACCTGAGTGGCTCAGTCAGTTGGGCGTCTGCCTTCAGCTCAGATCATGATCCCAGGGCCCTGGGATTGAGCCCTGCATCGGGCTCCCTGCTCAGCGGAGAGCCTGCTTCTCCCTCTGCCTGCCACTCTATCTGTGCTCTCTCTCTCTCTGTCAAATAAATAAATAAAATCTTTAAAAAAAAAAATTAATGTAACATCTGGGACACCAAGGTAGCTCAGTCATTTAAGCATCTGCCTTCAGCTCAGGTCATGATCCTAGGGTCCTGGGATGGAGGCCCACATCAGGTTCCTTGCTCAGTGGGGAGCTTGCTTCTCCCTCTGCCTGCAGCTCCCCCGGCCTGCTGCTGTGCTCTCTGAGAAATAAATAAGTCAAGTCTTTAAAAAAAAAACAACTAATGTGGGGCGCCTGGGTGGCTCAGTGGGTTGAGCATCTGCCTTCAGCTCAGGTCATGATCTCAGGATCCAGGGATCCAGCCCCATGTCGGGCTCCCTGCTCGGTGGGGAGCCTGCTTCTCTCTTTCCTTCTGCCCCTCCCCACACCCCGTGCTCTCTCTAGCTCTCTCTCTCAAATTGATAAATAAAATCTTTTTAAAAAAAAACTAATGTAACATCAAGGTAGCTCTTTTATTAGGCAATTGCTTCTTAGATATGATAACAAATGCATAAGCAACAAAAGAAAAAACAGATAAATTGGCCTTCTTCAAAATTAAAAACTTTTCTGCTTCAAAGGATACCATCAAGAAAGTGAAGACAAGCCACAGAATGGAAAAAAATATTTATAAACCATACACCTAATAATGGACTTATATAGAGAATATATAAAGAACTCCTACAGGGGCACCTGGGTGGCTCAGTCAGTTAAGCCTCTGACTCTTGATTTTGGCTCAGGTCATGATCTCAAGATGATGGGTGCCTGGGTGGCCCAGTTGGTTAAGCGACTGCCTTCGGCTCAGGTCATGATCCTGCAGTCCCTGGATTGAGTCCCGCGTTGGGATCCCTGCTCAGCGGGGCGTCTGCTTCTCCCTCTGACCCTCCCCCATCTCATGTTCTTTCTCTCTCTCTCATTCTCTCTCTCTCTCAAATAAATAAATAAAATCTTTAAAAAAAAAAAAAAGATGATGGGATCAAACCCCACGGCAGGCTCCATGCTCAGCAGGGAGTCTGCTTGAGATTCTCTCTCCCTCTTCCCCCACTCACATGCACACTCTCTAAATAAATAAGTAAATAAATAAATAAAATCTTTAAAAAAAATCTCCAATTCAATAATAAAAATACAACCCAATTTAAAAATGGGCAAAGGGCGCCTGGGTAGCTCAGTCATTAAGTGTCTGCCTTTGGCTCAGGTCATGATCCCAGGGTCCTGGGATCAAGCCCCGAATCAGGCTCCCTGCTCCACAGGAAGCCTGCTTCTCCCTCTCCCACTCCCCCTACTTGTGTTCCTGCTCTTGCTAGCTCTCTGTCAAATAAATAAATAAAATCTTAAAAAAAAAAGTGCAAAGGTTTTAAATAGAAATTTCTCCCCCCAAATAAACAAATGACTAATCACCATAGGAAATGATGATTAACATCATAAGCCAGCAGGGAAATACAGATTAAAATCACAATGAGATAACATTTCTCATTTATTATAGCTATCTCATTTTATTATATATAATATGCTCTTGTTATCTCTCTGTCAAATAAATAAATAAAATCTTTAAAAAAAAAAGATAGACAATAGCAAGTGTTGCTGAAAATGTGGAGGAATAGAAACTCTTATACACTACTGGTGAGAATGTAAAATGCTGCAACCACTTTGGCAGTTCCTCAAAAGGTTAAACATATACTATATGACTCAGCTGCTAGGTATAAACTCAGTTCTACTTCTAGGTATATACCCAGGAGAAATTAAACATATGTCCACAC